GGGGGTGGGAGAGTTCTCCTGACTTCCCAGATCCCTTTGTGCCCCTGGTACAGGGTTGGGGGAAGGGAGGGATGTGGGGACGGATCCTTCCGGGTCTGTTCTGGTTCTCCTTTCCCGTGTCCCTTTGCCGCGTCCGTTCCCTGTGTCCCTTTTCCCTGTGTGTCCTTTTCCGGTGTCCCTTCCCTGTGTCCTTTCCCTGTCCCTGTGTCCCTTGCCTCTCTCTCCCCCTTCCCTCTCCCTCTCCCTCTCTTCCCTCTTCCCTCTCCCATTCCCCCCTCACTCCCTTCTCCCCCTAGAACACTCCAACTACTTTGGCCTGGACGACAAGCTGGGCCCGGTGGCTCTGAGCATCCGCCGGGAAAAGCTGGAGGAGCACAAGGATCACGGCCCTCAGTACCAGCAGCGCCTCATCTTCCGCACCAGCCAGGTCCAGGCTCCGGCCCTTCCCTCCCGTGACGGAATTCCCATCGGGAATCCCGTCCGTGTGGGTGCTGACGGTCGATCCTTCCCCTCGCAGCTGGTCACGCTCCGTGGCTCCATCCTGGAAGATGCTACTCCCACCAGCTCCAAGCCGGGAACGGTGCGAGGGCTCCCGCTCCGGGACACGCTGGAGTACGTCATTCCCGAGCTGAATATCCACTGCCTGCGCCTGGCCCTGAGCACGCCCAAGGTCACCGAGCAGCTCCTCAAGCTGGATGAGCAAGGGGTGAGGGATTATTCCCTCTCTTCCATGGAGTTGTTCCCTCTCTCCTCTGGGATCTGTTCCCTCTCTCCTCTGGGGCCGATTCCCTCTGTTCCATGGGATTATTCCCTCTCTCCTCTGGGGCTCATTCCAACTCTTCCATGAGATTATTCCCTCTCCTCTGGGGCCGATTCCCTCTTTTCCGTGGGATTATTCCCTCCCTCCTCTGGGGCCAATTCCCTCTCTTCCATGGGATTATTCCTTCTCTGCTCTGGGGCTGATTCCATCTTTTCCATGAGATTATTCCCTCTCTCCTTTGGGGCTGATTCCATCTTTTCCATGGGATTATTCCCTCTCTCCTCTGGGGCTCATTCCAACTCTTCCATGAGATTATTCCCTCTCTCCTTTGGGGCTGATTCCATCTTTTCCATGGGATTATTCCCTCTCTCCTGTGGGGCTCATTCCATCTCTTCCATGGGATTATTCCCTCTCTTCTCTGGGGCCGATTCCCTCTTTTCCATGGGATTATTCCCTCTCTCCTCTGGGGCTCATTCCCTCCCTTCCCACAGCTTTGCCGCCGGCACAAGGTTGGAATTCTCTACTGCACAGGCTCATTCCATCTCTTCCATGAGATTATTCCCTCTCTCCTCTGGGGCTCATTCCCTCCCTTCCCACAGCTTTGCCGCCGGCACAAGGTTGGAATTCTCTACTGCAAATCCGGGCAGAGCTCCGAGGAGGAGATGTACAACAACGAGGAAGCAGGACCAGCCCTGGAAGAATTCCTGGATCTCCTTGGGGAGAAAGTTTCCCTCAAATCCTTCACCAAGTACTCGGCACAGCTGGATACCAAGAGTGAGTTGGGATCCGTAGGGAAGCTTGGAAGGATCTCCTAAGTGTCTCCAAGGGTTTTCTGACCTCCTTCTCCGTTTCTCCAGCCGATTCCACCGGGACTCATTCCCTCTACACAACCTACCAGGACTATGAGATCATGTTCCATGTGTCCACCATGTTGCCCTACACACCCAACAATCGTCAGCAGGTACCTCCTCCGGGGGCTCCGACCGCTTCCGGAGGCTCCTTCCCGCGGCTCCGGCCCCTTCCCAAGGCTCCATCCCCTTCCTGAAGCTCCTCCCCCTTCCCGGCGCTCCGTCCCCATCCACCGTGGCTGCTCTTCCCCCCTCGTAGCTCCTCAGGAAGAGGCACATTGGGAACGACATCGTCACCATCATTTTCCAAGAACCCGGAGCGTTGCCCTTCACGCCCCAGAACATCCGTTCCCACTTCCAGCACGTCTTCATCATCGTCCGCGTCCACCAGCCCTGCACGGACAACGTCTCCTACAGGTCAGTGCAGCCTTCCCAAACCTCTGGATTGGCATCCGTGGGATGGAGACTCGGGAAAAGGTCAACCCTGCTGAGCTAAGAGGCTCTCAAGGTGTTGGGATGTGGTTGGAGAAGGATCGTGGAGTCATAGAAAGGTCTGGAGCGGAAGTTGTGGAGTTTGGAGGGAGTTTGGGGTGGGATTAGGGGAGAATTCCTTGCTCTGGGAATCTCGGGGGCCCCAAAGGTGGTTGGGTGGTCCCGAGGGTCGAGGGATCGCGATGGTTGGTGACCCAAGGGTTGGATGTTCCCAGAAGTTGAGTGGTCCCCAGGGTTGGATGATCCCCAGGGTGGTTGAGTAGACCCAAGGCTTGACGAATCCTCCAGTTGGATGACTCCAAAGGTCTTTTCCATCCTACCATACTTCCATCCTTTCTCTAACCCCTCCCCTCTCTCTCTCCCTGTCCCAGCGTGGCCGTCACGAGGTCCAAGGACGTCCCTCCCTTCGGTCCTCCCATCCCTCCCGGCGTCACCTTCCGCAAATCCGAGCTGTTTCGCGACTTCCTGCTGGCCAAGGCCATCAATGCCGAGAACGCGGCCCCCAAGTCGGACAAATTCCACACCATGGCCACCAGGACCCGCCAGGAGTACCTCAAGGACCTGGCGGAGAACTACGTCACCGGCACTCCCGTCGACTCGGCCGGCAAGTTCAACCTCATCTCCTTGGCCTCCAAGAAGAAGGAGAAGACGCGGGCGCGCGCGGGAGCGGAGCAGGACAGCGCCGGAGCCGTCTCCTGGCGCGTGTCCGCCCAGGATTTCGCCCGCGGAGGGGCCGAGATTCCCTGCGCTCTGGGCATCTCCAACGAGTTCGTGGTGCTCTTGGATC